ACAAGCTCTCCAGCGATGATGCGGTGCGGAGGGTGTTAGCTGGAGAGAAGGGAGAAGTGAAAGGACGGGTCTCACTGGCCCCAAGATCTCAGGAACTGGATAATAAGAATGTGCAAGAAGAAGAGTCCAGACTTCACAAAGATACGGAGGTGAATTGCAAGTTGCATGTCTTTGAAAATCAAATAGAGAGTCTTTTTGTAGTTTAGGTAAAAACATTCATAGATGATTTTGTTTTTATTTTTTAGGGTAGAAGAGACTCTGAAATAAAAGAAAGAAGTACAAGCAGAGATCGAAAACAGAAAGAAGAATTGAAAGAAGACAGCAAGCTGAGAGAAAAGGACAAGGGCAAGGAGAAGGCCAAGGAGAATGGTGGAGACAGACACAGAGAAGGGGAGAGAGAGAGAGCCAGAGCCCGGGCCCGGCCAGAGAGTGAGCGGCAGAAAGACAGAGGCAACCGGGAGCGGGACCGAGACCCTGAGCGCGAGAAGGAGACAGAGAGAAAGCGTGAGAAGGGAAAAGAGAAGGAGAGACTGAGAGACAGGGACCGGGAGCATGACTGGGACAAGGGGAAGGACAGGGACAGGCGGAGAGTGAAAAATGGGGAGCATTCCCGGGACCCGGACAGGGAGAAGAACAGAGAGCACGACAAACCCGAGAAAAAGGTAAAGTCTTGCTAAAAACCCCGCCTTTCACTTAGCAAGAGTTTGTGGTGGTCTCAAACATGATTTTTATCTTATAATGTGACTAGGAAACTGGTTTCCTTTTATGCCAATTTAAAATTATGACAATCTTGGATTCTCAATAGAAACCCAGAGATACCTGTTTCTTGCCAGTTCTGTTATTTTTGGTTCATCCCTTAACAGAAGTTTATTGTTCAGCTGATCATTTATTAAGGAATTATTCAGTGTGTTTCCAACCTTTTTCTACTTCATGTGCAGGGAGAATTCTGCTGGATCGTGAGCTCCCTAAGAGCATAAGGTTTCACTCATGTTCACTCTTGGATGTCCGGCCTGGTAGAGGGTCTGACACCTAGTAGCTTTACAGTAGACATTTGGTGGTGGAGAGCATCCAGGCAAGGGATGATGGGCCTTTTAGATCATGAAACTCTAGATGGAATTGATCATTCGATAGTGGTTTCTGAGGTCTCCCTTTGTGGAATTTTGATTTGGGAGTAGTAGAAGATAATTTGGAGGAGGAAGTCAGGAAAATATTATTTAATGCTTGCTCTTTTTAGAGTTTAATGATTCCCCACCAGGCATGTAGAGAAATCAACATTTTTCAGGGTTTGAGCTGATTGGCAAGGTTACCCTTGTCCTTGTCTTGCAGGTGTTTTAAGGTGCGTTGCTTCTCCTGTGCATGTCTTCTGTGTCGTTTGTGTTGCTCTTGGTATTGCCATGAAGGCTTTGGAGCAGCCTCCACCTTTAGCATTGCATGCAGTGTTGATGTGCAGTCTGAGTTGTGTGCCTGGTATCTTTCAGAGCATGGATGTTGCTCAGTTATGAAGGATTAGGGCTGCTTTCAAGGGCTTTTAGGCATTAGCAGATAAGTACAATAAGACCTCAGTTTACTACAATTCTTGTTTAATTAAATTTTCCGGTAAATTTAGGGTTGGCCAGGAAATCCTATTGGTTTCAAAGTGTTTTCTAAATGTGTGGATTCCTTCTGGACCCACTATGTGGGTCCCCTACTCGTTCTTTGGAGGATATAAAATTGTAAAGCATCCTGTGAAGCTGGTGGAAGTCATCATCTCCAGCTGCTAGAGAGGAGGACACTGAGGTTGGAAAGGGTCTAGATCTGCCCCATCGATCTAGCCAGGCACTGAGGGGCAGGCCTGGCTGGTGCTGTGACCCCTTCCTCCCGGGACAGCCATCTTGTCTTGTGGCACTGCGTTTCAGGGTGTGCCTGCCCAGGGGAGGAGGTGGGCACCACAGGACTGACCTGAGAAAATCCTGTAAACCAGGCTTTCTTGTGGGGTCAGTACAAGTCCGTGTTGAGATCTGTGGGTCACAGTGGGAAAGGGGGCGCCTATGAGGAAAGGTGGTGGTTTGTTCGTAATTGAGCATGGTGTTTTACAGGGTACTTTGGAGTTTTATTATTTAAAATGTCACTCTTTCCCCCTCCTCTGCACGTCCTGTAGTAATGTACCCTATGCTATGTCTCATAACCTGCCTTTCCTTATGAGTCTTAGAAATTACAAAGACATTCCCCATCTTGTGCTCCTTTTCAGAGGTGTAAGAAAAAGTATTTTTCATGGATCTGATGTTTCTGGGGCACCAGCACATTCTGGTGTATTTTGCTGTCACGAGGCAGCCTAGGAAGGGGCCAGCCTTCCTCAGCTCTCAAGGCCTCTGGCTTGAAGGTCCGCACGTTATGTTCCCTAAAACTGCTAATGAGGCAACTGACTTTTTAAGTTGAGAGAAATAGTTCCAAAGAAAATCTTAGATGCTGATATTTGGGAACATATCAGAGCCAAGTATAATGATGGTTTTGTTTAAAAGCATCTGAGACCATGGCGAAGTGATATTTTCCTACTCGAAGCTGGTGCTTTCTCGGCTGCCATGAGATTTGTGTGGATCTCGCTTGGTGGTTTTGCCTGCCAGGCTTTTCTGTGGACAATCTGGGGGCTTCTTCATTGAGCCGCATGGATCTGGGAGGCAGCTGCATCCTTTCTTCTGGTAAAAAGTGCCAGGCAGGTGTGAGCTGCTGTGAGATGCCTTTCAAGGAATCCAGTTCCCAGGGACTTCAGTCACGTCTGATCTGGGGAGTCAGGAGACTCATGTTCTAACCCTGGTTAGAGCTCAGTCATTCTTTATTCTCTTCCCCATTTTATTTCTGTCTAGTAGAAAGGGTGGTGAGACCGTAGTCTACCCCATGGGCTTTTGCGAAGAAGAGGTACAATAGTAGATATGAAAACACTCGGAAAATTAAGAGTGCAGTTGAGAGGCCAGGTGCTAGGTTAGACTGGCCCTGTGGGGGTCCCGGGCCCCTCTTTTAACTGCCTCTTTTATGGGTAGCACGTGCGTAGTACCCAGCCTGCAGACATGGGTAATTACTGCTGATACAATCGGATACCTTCATAATTAACTTATGAGGACATTGAATTGTTAAAATATTGAACAGGCATTCTTTGCTTTTCAGTCTTCCTGGAGGAAAATCTCGGTGAAGACAGTCTGTTCTCCTTCTACTCTGAAATGTGTCTTCTAGAGAATTGATTTAAGGCATGAGATGAGATGGTGCTTACGGTTTTTATGTAGTTTATGTTATGAGAATGCCTTCCTCACTTAAAGTCTGAAGCCTTTGCTTAAGAAGAATTGCCCCATTCTATTGATAAAGTTACCTTATGATCAGCAGAGGTGACTGGGAGCAGTTTCTCCGTGGGTGTTTGTTCCTTCCCCCACTTCCGAGTTTCACTGGGATGTTTCCAGGAAGTTTGGCATGGCATAGGGATTTGTGTTCCTGTGTAGCTTCCTGAGAGGCAGGAGTGTTTGAAGTCCTTGCCCACCTACTCTGCCCTTACGGGAAGAGATTTCCCTGCCATTGGCTTGGAAGACTCTTGGGGAATCCAGGCAGCAATAACAGTGGTGGCTAATCAGAGCAGTGTTGAGATGTTCTCATGGGAAGAATGATTTGACTGTTGGTCAGTGTTATAGAAAATATCTTGATGTAATTTTAGATATTATGGATTTGAATAATTCTAAAGTTTGAATTTTTTTTTTTTTTAATAGTCAGCAAGCTCAGGGGAGATGTCTAAAAAGTTGTCAGATGGAACTTTTAAAGACTCCAAGGCTGAAACAGAGGTAAACTTTAAAAAATAACCTTACGAGATGTCAACTTGTAGTTGTGTGGGTCTGGTGAATGCTGTGTCCTCCCCTGGTCCACTGAGGCGTGGAGGGAGCGTATGGTCTGGGCCTACCTGTAATAGGTCCATTTTATTTTGTTGTAAAAGTAATGTGTTACGTGCTTTACCTCCTGGTAAAATGGATGGGCGTATGTATTATCTGATTTTCTGTGGGGCACTCCTGGGTTTACTTATGCTTTTATATGACAAGTGTGATGTGTGGTATGATAGGGTTGTCATTTTGGGGAGAAGGGGGAGGTGACATTCAGGATGAATCTGGAGGAGACATAAGGCACCAGGCAGACAGGTCCAGTGGGAGGGACCCCTCCAACCTCTGCTTGGCCTGTTCAGTACTCCACCATGCATTTCCTGGGGCTGGGGCTGGGTACGGTAGAAGCCCATCATCCCCACGTGGGCCATCTTGTGGAGGTTAGACTCATCCCCAGCAGTAGAGGCCACTGAGAGGTTTAAGCCAACTTTCGTAACCTAGTTTTGCATTTCAGGAAGTATTCAGTAGGCTGCAGGGGAGATGGGTTAGACATAGAGCAGAGGCTGGGAGGCCAGTTAGGAGAGAGAGGTGGTCAGACTGGAACTGTGTCAGTGGAGAGAGGACTAGGATATGCTGTTTTCTCTGATTTGGGTTCTGCTTAAAATACATGTAAACTTTTACCCTCAGAGTTGCTTACAAGTGCATTTAAGTAATTAAGTATATAGCAACAGAAGTGGAGTCCTCGTAAGCACATCTGATAAGACATTAGTGTTTCTCAAAGTCTGGTGAGTAGGTTGCTGACCTTTCTAGGGCTGTACAAAAAGACGGAATTCTAAATATAGTGCAAAAAAGGTTTTGGCTTCCTTGTAATTGATACTGTCAGGTCTTGAGTCCTTAATTGTATTGAGTTTTTAAAGCATATGGGCACTATTGCTGCATTTCCTACTTGTTCTTCCTAAAGCAGAGCTTGAAAAGTAAATCTGCTTATGATATCGCTGTGTGATACATCAATTAATTTCTTTTCATTCTTTTTTCTTTAAGACTGAGATTTCCACTAGAGCATCCAAGTCATTGACAACAAAAACATCAAAGCGGCGATCCAAAAATTCAGTGGAAGGTACTACAAAACTTGCATATGCAGCTGAAAATATGGATGTTAGTTTTTTTTTGCCTTAATCTCAACATCTAGTAGGAAAGAACTCCTGTGGCTGGAAAACAGACTTGCTGTGTCTGGGCATGAACAGCATGTGGAAATAATGCAGATTTGTGGCCGTTGCACACGCCTGCATGTGTGCTCAAGTGTGTGAGCTGATGGCATCAGGGCAGAGTAGCCCTCTTTGCTGGAGATCTGTGTTAAAATCTAAAAGTTGTGATCAAATTTTCATTTTCTGGAAATACTTACCAGCCATCTTCATTTCAGTGGTTCTGTCCTTTGCATTGGCAGGCTACATTTAATCCTTACACAGGTTGGACATAGAGCACATACATAGGTGGATAATGTTTATGTGTTTAAAAACCACAGAAATGATGATTGAAGTCAGGCTAAAAGCCGGAGCGCAGAGGCCTGGCCTGTGGTTCGCTCAAGGGTAGTACCTCATCATCCTGCCGAACACAAGAGTGCCAGGCACATGCAGGGAAGCCCTGCTGGAGGCCACGGTGTTGAAGGCTTATTTTCCATTGAAGTATGACATTGTTTTGAATGAGCAGCACTAGTTTCCGGAAAGTCATCCTTTTCCTAAATTGTGTAGGTTAAAGAAGGGTGGCAAGACGTAGCAGTGGGAATTTCTCGTAGGAAAGGAGGCTTTCTCAGCCTGCCTCTGTGGGGTAGCTTACGTGGTGGGTTCCACTCTTGCACGAGAATCAGTAGTGTGCTCATGACCAGCTTTGTGCCAGAAGTCTTTGCTCTCTTTTGGTTGACCGCTCTGGGGTAGGTTTCTAGAAGCGCAGTGGCTGGCACAAAGGGCGTGGCATTGCGGCTTCTGCGTGCCCTTAACGGCCCTTCACCCCACACCTTCTCCATTGTTTTAAAGGCATGCTGATTTTGGTGGATGAAAAACAAAAAGTTAATTGCTAGTGAAATGGTACTTTTTGTTGTACGTGAGTGTTCTGGGCTTGTCTGATCTGCCCGTCCTTTCGTTTGCCTGGGTTCTTCTTGCTGCTGGAGTCTGCGTTCTTACTGATTTGCACACGTGTACTGCATGTTAAGGGCGTCTGCCAATTTGCCGATTTTTGCATGTGTTTCTTATTTTTTTTCCAGTTTGTTTCTGCTAATTATATTTGGTTTGGTTTCTGATTTGCCTGAGTGTTAAATTGTTAGGTACTTGAGGCCTCTAATCTTTCTTTTGGCAATCTGTCCAGAGATTTGAGACGTGAAGATTTGTGTTTTATCATTCATTTTTTCGCTTAATATTTTATCTCTTTAATTCATGATATAAGATGAGGCTCTGAATCTGTTTTGTCAGACAAATTCATCAGAGGTTCCAGGATCGGTTACTAATTAATTGAACACTTCTCTCCTGCTCTGTGATGCCTTTTGTAGTCTGCGTTATAGGCTTTTTTGTGTGTGGTGGTTTTTACTTCCACTGTTTTATTTTTACTATCAGTTTCCTATCAATGTTCTTTTCAGGAAAGTTTTAAGCCATCTTATTTGCTTATTCTTCCAGGTGAATTTTAAAATCACTTCACAACTCAAAGAATTCCACTCCTGCAAAATGAACAAACTAATGTCTCAGAATGTAATTGGACTTGTGTTAAAGATATGCTCTCATTAGGTTAGGAAGATTAGACACCTCTAATTTCAGTTTTGGGAAGGCGTCCCCCTCTTTCCAGAACACGTGTGCATGTGCCTGGCTGTGTCTGTTAGTCACAGTGGTTGCTTGCTGGTTTATTTTTAATTTTTTCTTGGAAATGGTATTTTCTCCCATTTAAAAAATGATTATTGTTGGTATGTAGTGGCTTCATTTTTTTTTTTTTTTTTTTTTTTTTGTGTTTTTTTTTTTTTTTTTTTTTTTTTTTTTTTTTGAGATGGAGTTTCGCTCTGTTGCCCAGGCTGGGGTGTAGTGGCGTGATGTCAGCTCACTGCAACCTCTACCTCCCAGGTTCAAGCGATTCTCCTGCCTCAGACTCCCAGGTAGCTGGGATTACAGGTGCATGCCACCATGCTGACTAATTTTTTGTATTTCTAGTAGAGGCGAAGTTCCACCAAGTTGGCTAGGCTGGTTTCGAACTCCTTGCCTCAAGTGATCCACCTGCCTCAGCCTCCCAAAGTGCTGGGATTACAGATGTGAACCACTGCGCCCGGCCTGTTGTTGCATCTTAATCCAGTAGATCTTCTGTTGGTTCTTTTGGGTTTCCTAAGCAGACAGTTGTATCATCTGCCCTTTCCTAATCACTTGGGATATTTGCATCTGTGTTTACTGGTGAGCTTGTGCTCTAGGGTTCTTTTGTATCTTAAGAGATTTTATTACCAGACATTTTTGGGTTTTTTGACACTGAGTTTTCCTGAGTTACCAGCAGCCCAGTGAACTCTTGTCTTCTCCTCCTGCTAGCCGGGCGCTGACCTCACTGTAGGTCTCCCAGCACAGCTGGCACTCTTCCCGAACATTCTGCCTTGCTTAAGTAGGTTTGCATTTGGGTAAATGCCCAGTTTCCAGAGGTGTGTGAGACACTGGACCTCTGTGTTCTGCTCGAGGGGATGAATGAGCCTTCACTATGGGATGTGAGGGGAGCATGTTTGTTAAACATGCTTAGACTCTTAAAGTCATTCTGGAATCCTGCAGAATCCAGAAGGCATTCTGCTAAGATTATGACAGTTTTTGCTTATTCCTAAGTTGTGCATATAGAGCTGATCACTTTGGCTTAATGAGGATATTTTAATTTCATTTGTTTGTTAACTGCTTTACATTACAAATTAAGTTTAATATATATTTTCATTGTGCAATTTTATGTCAGGAAGAAGGGACCCTAAAGCCAGTGAAAATAGTCTTTCCCCTGAGAAAGAACATAACTCTTCCCACTATAAAGCTAAGAAGGAGCATACCCTGAAACAGCTCGGTAAGCTGAGTGAGCCATAGTGGAGGCTGTGAGTGAGTGTTGAGAGTTGAAACTTTTGCTGCCTGGTCCTTTGCTTCTGCTTGGTCATTGAACATGTGGAAGTCTGCGAGGGGTGGTTGGATGGGTGTTGCCCTGCTTGCCCTGGGGCCTGAGCTCTAGAACACTGCCTTCGGGCCGGAATGGAGAGGGGCAGAGGGACCTGTTGGCCCCCTGCAGGGCTGCCCCCGACCAGGTGGGAATTTCTTATTCTGAGTCAATCACAGGCTGAAATTGTCCATTTGAGCCTTACTTCATTGATTCTGCAGACATTTATGACTCAGGGGTGCATATTTGCATGTTAGTTTGTGATGACTCTTCAAGGAAAATGAAGCCAAGAGGAGCAGGGATGAGGGGCTGTGCAGGGAGGATGTCTCTGAGGGAGGACATCTGGACAGAGAGCTGACTTGGGCAAAGGAAGACACAGGTGTGCATAGCCTCTGAGCAGAGCCTCTGAGCTGGGGCAGGCTTTCTGGTGTGAGTGGTGAGGCTGGGTAGAGAGAGGAACAGCGATGGGGGAGGGGCTGGGCCGGTAAGCAGGACCCAGAGCTGCTGGTCCTGGTCCACAGCAGCTTTGTGGTTCACAGTGAGTGCATACAGAAGTCCTTGGAGGGTTTTAAGCAGGACAGAGGCAAGATTTGACTTAGGTTTTAGAAGGCCTCCTTTTAAAACTGTGGAGTGGCAGGAATAAAGGCCACAGAGCAGTAAGGAGGGGGCTGTGGCATCCAGATGAGAGGAGGTGATAGTTCAGACGAGTGGTGAGAGCAGCTTGGGTTTACTGTGCTGATGGGTTGGATGCCACTTGCTCGGATGGAAGGAAATCAAAGATGCGATTCATTCTGGGAGGGGTCTAGGTTCCTGGGGGTGACCTTTATTGACGTGGAAGGTTCTAGGAGACGCTGGTTGGTGGAATGGGTGACACTGTTAGGGATTCTGTGTTGACAACAAATTTGAGGTGGCTGTGGACCAACCAAGTAGAAACATCTAGTAGACAGCTGGGTGTATAGACTTGGAGATAGGAGAGAGCTGGAGAAACTGAAGGTAAAAACCAAAAATGGAGAGTTCTAGCATACGAGTGATGTTTACAGCCATGGGCAGTAAGTAGTCCAGGGGCGTGTGTAGGTAGGAAAGGGTGTGGTGAGCTCCGGGGCCTGCTGTGGGCTCCCAGGTCTGAGGAGGGGGAGGGGGGAGAGAGGAGGAGGAGGGGGAGAGAGGAGGAGGAAGGGGAGGGGGAGAGAGGGAGAGGCAGGGGAGGGGGAAAGAGGGGGAGGCAGGGGAAGGGGAAGGGGAGGAAGGAAAGGGGGAGTAGGGGAAGGGGAAGAGGAGGAGGAGGAGGAAGAGAAAAAAAGATGGAGAAGGCGGAGGAAAGATGGAGGATCATCCTCACAAAGGAAACAGAAGTCCAACAAGTTGGAGGAAAACTTGGAGAGGAAGAAAGTGTTAGGGAAGGAGAGGGGGCTTCTTGTCAAGCTCTAATGTGAGGGAGTCATGTGGAGGCTGAAAATTGGCCATTTAGTTGATGAGACAGTTTGCTGGTGACCTTCGTATATCCCCTGTAAACCCCAACTAAACCAAACACAAAGTCTTTTACAGTATTTTAATCTGTTGTTAACTATTTTATGTCAGGAAGGAAGGAGGATAATATTTCAGCTAAAATTTTAGACTCCATAGTGTCTGGAATAAATAACGAGCCAAATCAGGAAATAACAACTTCAGAAATCGGTAAGAAAAATAGATTCTTTAGTTTCAATTCCTTACCCCTTTAATGTGAATGGCTATGTCTCAGTGTAGTTATACATTTTAAAAAAATTATTCTAAACACTTTTATGTTCATCAGACTTTTTCATGATGTACTAAAGATTGGAAATGACTTGAGGTTTTACTGCTTTAATATGCTAAGTTACATCACTTTATTAACTCAGCTTTAAGTTAATTTATGCCTTTTTGGTACATAGCTTATGTTTACATTTCAGTCAAAATGGTTTCTTAATTTTGCTGCTGGGATTTCACAGTGGTGTGGGTGATGACATAGAGAAACGGTTTTTCTGTCTTCATCCTGCCCTGCTATATTCTTCTCAGAAAATGCTCGCAGTAGAGATGTTTAAAGTGCTTCTCAGGCACTGGGGAAGCCGGCCTGTCACAGCCAATCATCCTGCTGGCTCAGAGGGGATGGGCCTTGGTTCAGTATCAGTAACTGCGGTCATCTGTGACTACAGATGGAATTCTTCGGAAATACTCGAATTCTTCAGTTGCATTTAAGGAAAAAATAGTGTAAAATTAGACTTTAGGGGAAGATAAGATTTTTGCTAGGCCCAGCTTGCCTTGTATCTGTCTGACTGACGAATTCTGAAGTGTAGCTGGAATGCCGATGGGTACACCTTTCTTTCTCTGCATGCGTTCCCCTCAGAGCTGGCACTTCTAGGATTGGGCATGATTGGTACAGCAGCTGCAGTGTGAAAGGTGATCTGTGGTTATTTTATTCCAAGTAGGGCGATTGTATGGGAGTTACCTGGGTCTTTGGTAGCATGGGATGGTGCAGTAAAAGGTGACTGAGTTGGAGCAGGGGTTTCCTCTGAAGAGAGCCCTTGCCACGTGGAAATGCATGTTATAGCTCAACCGTATCTTGTGATGTATGTTTTCTTTTTGTGGGAGCTTTCCTCATCCCCAGGCACCTGTGGGGAAATGCCCAGACGCTCTGCAGTCCTGTACGCAGGAGAGGTCAGCAGGCAGTGGCAAAAGCCTGAGGGGTAGACTGCTGGGAGCCCCCATCCGGGTAGCTGGGAACCCATCTCTGAGACCGCTGGGGCAATTCCCCACCATCTGCTTACCTGTCTCATGACCTTAGCCAGCCACGTGAGGGGGTTCTCTGAGCCACAGTTTCCTCATCATAAATGGGTATAAAGAGACCTGCCTGAGGGTGAAGGAGGTGATGTCCATAAGGTCGTCCCAGGCATGCTGCGGTCTAACCCGCTTTATCACAGGTCACCTCAGCTGAACTGCCAGCCCCGGATCAGGGCGAGACAGCGCTCATCCTGAGATGGGCAGTGGATTTAGAACAAATTGAAAGCATTCTCCAGACAGGTAGTGAGCACTGTATAGGTAATATCCACAGGTGTGAGATAGCACAAGCCCCCCGCAGTGAGAAGCATAGACTCTAACCGTGGGTTCTGGGTTCAGCTTTTTGCAGAGATAGGGATGGAGCCTGATGCCGCCTGCTGGGGAGCAGAGTCTCTCCGTCGGTGGTGGTGTAGGGATGGGTGACCGTGCTGGGGGTCAGGAACAGTGGCCAGGAGCAGAGCCTGCGCTCTGGAGAGACTCCTGGTTCATCCTCTCTCTCCTCCCCCACCCTGGCCCTGTTCCCTTGGGGTCCTGCCATGGCGCGGGCCTGGGCTCTCTGTCCTCGCAGTCGAAGGTGTTGCCTTGCAGTGGCCATGGTTAACATTTGGAATTCAGAGTTTGCTGGCAGTTGTTACAGTTCTTTGATTTCTTCATTGAGAGTGAACCCCAGGTGCACTGCCATTGGGTCTGGTTAGCAAGCCGGTCCTCACAGTACTTCTTAGTGCTTCAAAGAAAAGTCCACATTGTCAAAGAAAGCTGGCCTGTGTTGCAATGACGGACCCAGCCCTAGCGAGCCCTGTGCCCATAGTCTGGGTCATCATCAGAGAATTTGTGGGGTTTATGTTATCCTTTTGATTTTTTGGGTGGATTAAAGAGTTTGGCTGGGCGCCGGTGGCTCATGCCTGTAATGCCAGCACTTTGGGAGGCCAAGGTGAGTGGATCACAATGTCAGGAGTTCAAGACCAGCCTGGCCAACATGGTGAAACCCTGTCTCTACTAAAAATACAAAAAATTAGACAGGTGTGGTGGCAGGCGCCTGTGGTCCCAGCTATTCGGGAGGCTGAGGCAGAGAATTACTTGAACCTGGGAGGTGGAGGTAGTGAGCTGAGATCGTGCCGCCGCACTCCAGCCTGGGCGACAGAGCAAGACTCTGTCTCAAAGAGTTCAACGAGGAACTTATGCATTTCTTTTTGAAAACATGAACAATTTCTTCCTGTACTTCGGTTGTTAAGCAACATGTAAGCTATGCTTTTTTCTCTTTACAATTGTTTGACACTTCCAAGTTTTTCTGGATCATTAAGCCAGGTCTTTATTTTGCTTAGTTTTCCTCATTTCATGTTTGCTTAATTGTTTAAATATTTTTATTGTGAAAAATAAAAGTAGAAAGAGTACAACTAATATCCATATACCTCTCACCTAGATTCACTAGTTCTAACATTTTTGCCATTTTGCTTAATGTACAGTTACATGTGTGTGTATATATGTATTTCTTGAGACGGAGTTTCACTCTGTCACCCAGGCTGGGGTACAGTGGCACAACCTGAGCTCACTGCAACCTGCGCCTCCTGGGTTCAAGCGATTCTTTTGCCTTAGCCTCCTGAGTAGCTGGGACTAAAGGCACCTACCACCACGCCCGGCTACTTATGTATATTTTTGAGACAGTACTTTGCTCTGTCACTGAGCCTGGAGTGCAGCGGTATGATCATAACTCACTGCAGTCTTGAACTCCTTGGCTCAAGTGATCCTCCTGCCTCAGCCTCTCGACTAGCTAGGACTACAGGCATATGTCACCATGCCTAGCTAATTTTTTTTTTTTTTTTGTAGAGAGGGCATCTCATTTTGTTGCCTGGGCTGGTCTTGAACTCCTGGGCTCAAGTGATCCTTTCACCTCAAACTCCCAAAGTGCTGGGATTACAGGCATGAGTCACCATACCCAGCATATAGTTACATATTTTAATGACCTGTTTCAAAATATGTTAAAAACATCCTAACACTTTGTCTGTAAATACTTCAACATGCAGCTTAAAAAAAATTACATTCTCCTACATAGACACAAAAGTACATTCTCCCACATAGACACAAAAGTGTGGTCTAACAACTCAGTTATTACTTCCTGATAGCATCTGAATCCCAAGCTGTATTCTCTTTGTCCCAGAGATGTTTTTTTCTTTTTTTTAAACACTGGCTATTTGATCACATTTAACTCAGTGTAGCTAAAATTCGTGCAGAGCACTGGCAGAATGACGATCTCTTGCAGTTGTATTGTGGGCCCAAGTCTGATTAGTTTCAATAACAGTGACTGATAGGGACCGGCCCCTCCCAGCCGGCCCACAGGGCTCCTTGCTTTATGCACAAGATCTCATTTGACTCAGGATGGCTCCATGAGGTGGGCAGGCCAGACTGCGGCTCAGGAAGGCTGAGGGGTCTGACCAAGGTGTAGCCCGTGGAGAGAGGGAGCACCAGTGTTCCACCCTAGGGAGTCTTGAGCCAGGGCTCACATTCTTACCTACAAGGTTCCTTGGTTACCAGGTAGTTCCAGACAACAGATTGTGCTTACGCTGTGATTCTTTTTTTTTTTTTTTTTCCAATTTATAGCCATTTTTATTTTATTTTATTTTATTTTATTTTATTTTTGAGATGGAGTCTCGCTCGCTCTGTTGCCAGGTTGGAGTGCAGTGCCACGGTCTTGGCTCACTGCAACCTCTGTTGCCTGGGTTCAAGTGATTTTCCTGCCTTAGCCTCCTGAGTAGCTGGGATTACAGGAGCCTGCCACCAGGCCCAGCTAATTTTGTATTTTCAGAAGAGATGAGGTTTCGCCACGTTGGCCAGGCTGGTCTTGAATTCCTGACCTCAGGTGATCAGCCTGCCTTGGCCTCCCAAAGTGCTGGGATTACAGGCGTAAGCCACCGAGCCCGGCTATCATTTTCATTTTATAAGTGCGTTATTTATTTTTTAAAAGCTATTATTTGACAGATTGGTTAATCCCTTCTCTGTGATTAAAAGTTGATTCTACAGTGTGGTATCGTTAGTGAGCATATAGTCTGTTTTCATGTTGTGTCTCTTGGTGTGAACCTGGGGTTTAGTAAAGCTTACATAAGAATACTACTGGAACTTTGGAAAGGTAAAATTGTGCAGAGTGTCATTGGTCTCTGAATTACAGAATGAAGATAACGCATTTATAATTTACTTACTGTGATGGTGGTGGGTATGGTAGAGTATGGAAAATATTTGACACTTAGAAATCAAGCATACAACTTAAAATGATTAGTGTTTTCTTGAGCTAGAATTGCCAAGCTTATGTTGATTTTTATTTTTTTTTTGTTAAGAACTTAATATTTCATGTTTATTCTCTGGTTACCCTGTATAAAGTATAAATAACTATTTGAATCAGACTATTTAAGTCAGCAACATTTTCATAGATTGATAAAAATGTCTTTATAAAATTATATTTCATCTATTTTATGTAGTTCTATTACATTATAAATAAGACAGTTGGTAGTTAATGTCAGGTTGATTCTGATATAAGCTGTTTTGAATAGTTTGAAGAAATTATAAGATTGTGTTTCAGGAAAGGGAACATTTTTCCAGTTTTATTTTTGTCTCTTAGTTTCTTTTTAGAGTGGCAGGTCCTTTAACTATGGGCTAGTTTTCTAGCTCTGGGTCCTGTTGCAATTTAGAACCTATTCCTCTAGCTCCTTCCCCGGCCCCTATATCCCCTGTTTTTCCAGACAGGATCTCACTCTTATACCCAGGCTGGAGTGCAGTGGCACAATCATGGCTCACTGCAGCCTCATCCTCCTGGGCTCACGTGATTCTCCTGCCTCAGCCTCCTGGGTAGCTGGGACTACAGGCACCTGCCACCACTCCTAGCTAATTCCTAGCTAATTTTTATACATATGAGGTTTTGCCAGGTTGCCCAGGCTGGTGCCTTCCTTGGCCTCCCAAAGTGTTGGGACTACAGGCATGAGCCACTGCACTCGGCCTTTTTTTTTTTTTTTTCTAGATAGGGTTTTACTTTGTTCCCTGGCCTGAAGGACAGTGGCGTGATCATAGCTCACTGCATCTCCCAACTCCTGGACTCAAGTGACCCCTCCCACCTTGGCCTCCTGAATAGCTGGGACTATACAGGTGTGTGTACCCATGCCTGGCTAGTTTTTGAAATTTTATATTTTGTGTGGAGACAAGGTCTCCCTATCCCTATGTTGCGTAGGTTGTCTTTACACCTGGGCTCAAGTGATCCTCCCACCAAAGACTCCCAAATTGCTGGGATTATAGGTGTGAGCCACTGTGCCGAGCCTGTGTTCGTTTTTCATAGCAAAAATATTTTCTCAGGTATTTGGTATTTTTTCTGTCTTCATAAACTTTGGAACATCAGTCAGTAATTAGTAGGCAGGTATGTGGAAGTTTTCAATATGGCCAGGACTGTGCACTGTGTCCAAAATATTTTTCTTTTCTTCCTGCGTTCCTGAAACAGCCACCTACTTGCAGCCTCTCAGCTGCTGGGTCTGGCTTTAGTGTGGGGTGAGTGGAGACTGGCAGTGTCAGGTAGCTCCAGAAATGGGGGCGGGGACAGCCTGTTCCTCCTGGCCCAAGCAGACCCAGGACACACTCACAGTCTGGGGTTTTCTTTCCCCTTCACCTAATTGCAGAGCCACCCATGGGGAAGGAACATTCTAGATGCATGTTTTCTAAAAACTGCCTTTGGTGAATCCTTTGTAAACTCGCAGTGTGGGAAGACGTAGATAAGTGAGCATGCTCTGTGTTAACGAAGCCGCTGATCACCGGCCCTTTGGTGTACAGTCTTAATGACTAATTTCAAACTGTTTTATGTCAGGAACAAAAGAAGCTAATGTTAACTCAACTAGTATTTCAGATGATAAGTCAGCTAGTCTGTGGCGTGAGAATATTGAGCCCGACCCTGCAGTGAAGCAGAAAGGTAAGAATGGTCCTGTTTTGTCCTCTTCTGGCGAGAGCAGTCAGCCTTCCAGAGCCTTCTTCCCAAAGGGCCACAGCCCAGAGCTCAAGGCTTTCCCTTGGATCTGAACGTGGCGAGTGATTCACTTCTGGCTTTTTGCATAAACTAGAATCTAACACAGTGGTTTCTTGATAACATGAGACCCACTCGTGCTCCTCTGTGCTTTGTGAGTGAGAGGAGGTGGCATGGTTCATCACTCGGGAGGTGTCATGAGTGATCCCTGAAGTTTCAGGGTCACTGCTTGGAGAGCCCCACGGGCCAAGCAGTGTGCCACCCACACTTCATGGTCACGGTGCTGTGGCCACCATGATTTTTCTGTCATTTTTTTTGAATGTTGAATTATACCTCAGTGACATTTTGCTTTCATCATAAATTTTCTCAGCCCTAAAAAAATCTTTGGTAAAATAGCCATTCAGTGTTTGTGTTTTAAGGCCTTGGAGCTCCTAACAGGCCTGCAGGGGTGCCGGTGCCCAGGGAATCAAGGCTTGTGCAGGCGGCAACGACAGGGTGGGGTGTGGCTGATGCTTGTTGATTCCTTCAAACAGAAAATACCTGTCCAAGGCCTATGACATGTCAGCCCTGAGGCCAGGAGTGCATTGGCCAGTGAAGTCAGACTGGCCCTCTGCCTTCCTGGTGCAGATGAGGCTGCAAGATTCACCGAAACCATTTGATGAAGTGGCATTCTGGGGCAGGAGGGGCTTTGGGTGGTAAGGTTGGCCCAGGGAGCCTGCAGGGCAGAAGGGATTTATAAACCAGGATCCTAGCTGGGACACAGCTGCAGCAGGGCTGGCTCAGCCCAGAGGAAGTGCAGAGCCAGGTCCCTGTGCCACTTTATGGAGTTTAGCCATTATTGGAAGAGCAGCAGGAGGCTAATCATATCTTTAGGAGGAGCAGTATAATGATATTTAGATTTTAACGAGCGGCCATGTTAATTAGGGAGGATTAAAAAGAGTGTCCAGAGAAGAGAGAGAGAGAGGCCTGGACTGTGGAGGAGCTCCAGGAAGGGAGAAGGGATTCCAGGGCTGCTGGCACGTGTTGGAGGAGCTGGCCTGGAGCGTGGAGGGAGACCACAGGCTAGAGAGGACCTGTGAGAGTTGCTGGCGCTGGTGATGGCGGGAGCCTGGGTGGGGACGAAGTCACCTGGGACAAAACCATGAGAGCAGGAGCTGGCAGAGCACTGGTGCCATGGAAGCACAGGCTTCAGGGAGGAAGCTGTGTGCCGTGTGGCAGGTGCCTTGGGTTCTGGGTGACGGGGACTGGAAGCCTCCATGGAAAGGTAGAGAGTTTACTGTGCTCACTTTCCTTCTGGGTATCAGCTTTGTGGTTGAATAACTGCGCCTCTCAGGAACCTTTCTGTGAGCTCAGTGACCCAGAGTCTGTCCCCAACCCCCTGGTGTTTTAGAGAAAGAGCTGGGGGTTTGCAGCTGGGTCTGCTGTCCACCCCCAGGTTGCTGGTCTCTGCTAAGCACATGCTCCAGGCTGCACAGTCATGAGTAGAAGATTTGCTCTTGGTCCCGAGCAGTCCCGTCCCACGGTTGAGCTAAGTCCTCCAACCCCGTTTCCCCAGAGTGCTGGGGTCTCTGAAACTGCCCTTCTAGTGGCACTATCTGGGACCACATTCTCTAGGCCCCTCCTAACCACTGTGCCCTCCAGTCCCCTAGGCCCTGGAGGGTGCCAGGCTGCCTACTGTGCTGTGGCACTTTGTGGGGCGTGACCTCTGGATGCTCCCAGGCCCACACTAATAGGGTCTTCTAGAGCCTCCCGGTTCCCCTTGATCCACAAGCTTGGCCACTCTCCCCCTGCCAGAGCCCCCCTCTTTAGGGCAGCATTTATGAGCTCGTGACTGTTACGCTCACGAAAAGTTCTCCTGCGAATAAACGAGCTAGAAGTGTCTGTGGAGTGCTCCTCACTCTGTTGGGTGTAGACCCCCAGAATAACCCAGGATGCTTTCTCGAGGCTGTGTGAACTGTCCCTGTCTGGGGTGGAGCCATGTTAAATGAGGAGTTGTGTCTGCCCGTGTAGTGTTCTGGGCTGTCTTGGGAATCCATGTTCTTTCCGCTCTTCTGCAAGTGCATTCATGCATGTTGAGAGTGTGAAACAGAGATTTTCCACCTGTGGTTTTGAATCCATCCCACCCCTGTGGTGCCACTGCTCATTTACTTTGACTGTTTAGGTCACATTTGTCCCCAAGACTCAGCACTTGAAGGAAAAGGATCATGGGTGAAGGTGCAGAGGTGGGCCTGTGTTGAGCTGGGAGATTTTCTTCTGCTTCAGGAGCTGATGGAAAAATACCGATTATGTCTATAAGATGGCTGTTGCTGGCTATCTCCCAGTCTTAGGAACGGCTGGGATTTAGCTGGCCGGGTTCAGACAGTCGCATCATTGCCTCACATTTAGATGCTTTTCTGTGGCTCTGGCTTTGTCAATTCTTGTCTCATGAACTTGTTAACTTCCTCTCTCCGATGTGCTGTCTCCACACCCCTGTGTCCTGTTTCCATGTAATACCATTTTATGATGCACGGTGTGTTTACGCTTTGTTTTTCCATCTTTGAAAATAAAACAAAATGGCAATAGGGACATCAGAAAAGCGGTTATGAGGGAATGATCTTTTTTTCTAACAGACATCCGACAATTATGTACAATGTGCTCTTTCTCTAATTCTGTTCTCATCGTTTACTATATTGAGGTTCACTTACACTAAAGTTAATTTTCTGCTGTGCTTTTTTTTTTCAGGCGACTCCGCCAGTGATGCAGGTGAGGAATGGCCTTAGGCACCTGTGTGTCACATCAGGATGCATGTTGTGAATGTAAACATGGGCTCGAAGATTTATGTTTTATGAAGTGCATTAGTGAAAGTAGCTTAGTTTATGGAAACAGATGTTAACTACCCTAATTTAATTTGAGATTTAATTTATATGTTTTAAGTTTGCAAAGAATACATTTCAGGATTTTTCCCAGAATATAAAGTATAGTTCTAATATTCAAATTCTGACCATTTTCTAAATTATTAATTTCTTTTACTTTAAGTAGTGGAGTAAACTTAATTGTCTTAATAGTTTAGGCCTTATTATTTACCGCTTAATTCTTTTTATCAAAATGAAGAAAACTTTGTTCACATTGGAAACATAATATGGTACATACCAATGTAGAAAAATCAAAAAATGCAGAAGAACATAAAGAACAAAACTTAACAGCACTGGTAATTCCACTGCTTATAACTTAAACGAATATTCTTCTAGAACCCTCTCTCTCTGCATATATATGTGTACATATATAATTTTTAGATATATTACTGTACTGGATTGTTTCACATAAAAGGGACTAGCATGTGGCTGTACCATAATTTACTTAGTTACCGGTTAATTGTTAATACTATCAATGATGATAAGTGAATATCTTGACATGTGTTCATTTCTCCTCTTGGGTTATATTTCCTTTAAGTGTGGAGTTGATCACCCTGCCTTTCGAATTCTATTTCTGAAGTAGTTGAACCCGTTTGTATTTCCTGGGTTTGAGTGTGCCCATTTTCCCAAATCTTCACCAAGCTTAGATATCAGACTTCGGTTTTATCTTCAACAACATGATTGATGGAAAAATTGCTCATTTGTATTTGCAATTACAAATGTATTTGATTGCAAATAACTGCAAATACAAGCGCAAAAAGAATTTTCAAGTAGTTGTCAGTGTGTTTTTTCCTTTGTGAATTGCTAATTGATTGTCATTTGTTTAGAAGGAGACGCTGGACCTGCTGGCCAAGATAAGACTGAGGTGTCAGAGATTCCAGAAATTCCTAATGAGCTTTCATCCAGCATCAGGTCTGTGTGCTTTTAATCCCTTTCCCTCAGCAGTGACCACACCCAGGACGCTGCTATGTTTCTCTTTCTACTTCTTGCTGTTTATTTAGCACTTGAGCTAACTTACGAGGAATTACTTGTAGAGAATAGAAAAAAGTAGATCATTTTTCTGTACCTCAGTTATATAACCATATGCAGAATATTTTGGAGATTTAGGGGAATTCAAAATTATGTCTGAATTATGTCATGTTTTGATTAATGATAGTAGTGCTATTTCCTTGGTATTTTGAAATGACTGAAAATATAGTTTAAAAGATGGACACTTTCTGGTTGGTTGGGTTAACGGGACATTCTTCCTCTTCTGCAGAATAGTGTGTCCTAACTAGCCCTTGATTATGGTCTGGAGATGATTTTCCACTTTGAAATGTGTAAGCCTTTCATACTCCTTTTTTGGTTTTCTGATATTTGGGTTTAGAAAAATTCCTCGGCCTGGGAGTGCAAGACCAGCACCTCCCCGGGTCAAACGGCAAGACAGCGCGGAAGTGTTACCGCTGGAGAGGTAAGGCTGGCTCAGCAGGGCAGTTTGGTCACATAGTGTGTTCTCCCCTGGGCACAGTGTCTCCACTGAGCGATGGGAGAGGGAGGCCACAGATGGTGCTGGAAACTTGGTGTCGAGGAATGAAAAGTGAGGTAGACTCTTGCCTCACACCATAGGCCAACAGGCCTAGCAGATGGATGAAAGAGGAAAGCCCCTCATGCATGTAAAATTAAATCTTAACATCCATGGGAAAGTGTTGGACTGCATTTCTCTGATCTCTAGGTTGAAGACTTGCTGCTTCTGTTTTTTTTTTCCTGAGATGGAGTTTTGCTCTGATGCCAAGCTGAAGTACAGTGGTGCGATTTTAGATCACCGCAGCCTCTGCCTCCTGGGTTCAAGCGATTCTCCTGTCTCAGACACCTGAGTAGCTGGGACTACAGGCATGCCCCACCATGCCCAGCTAATTTTTGTATTTTTAGTAGAGACAAGGTTTCACGATGTTGGCCAGGATGGCCTCAATTTCTTAACCTCGTGATCCGCCTGCCTCGGCCTCCCAAAGTGCTGGGATTATAGGCGTGAGCCACCGTGCCTGGCCTCTAGATTTGAAGACTTTCTAAGCATGAAAACAATGCTGAGAAAAAAGTAGGGGAAATTTAGGGGCTTATTTGCACAAAAATAAAAAATAGAAGATGGTCAAAATGTTATAAGCAGGCTGGGTATGGTGGCTCATGCCTGCAATTTCAGCATTTTGGGAGGCCAAGGCAGGCAGATCGCTTGAGGTTAGGAGTTTGAGACCAGCCTGGCCAACATGGTGAAACTCCCATCTCTACTAACAATACAAAAATTAGCTGGGCCTCGTGGCATGTACTTGTAGGCCCAGCTACTCAAGAGGCTGAGACAGGATAATAATCACTTGAACCCAGGAGGTGGAGGTTGTAATGAACTGAGATCACGCGGCTGTACTCCAGCCTGGGTGACAGAGTGAGACTGTCTCAAAAAAAACACATAAAGATACTAATTAGTAGAGAAATTAAAAAAAAAAAAAAAAAAAAATGTCATAAGCAATATAAAGACAAATAAGACAGGATGGATCAGAGTGGGTTTCAGATAAAATAAGAGGCAGGAATTGGAGGCAGCAGGAGTTGATGTGGTTTTCCAGGAGTTTTTTGTTACAAAGAGAAGTGAAGGAATAAGACTAGGAAGAGGGAAAGGCAGTGTCAAGGGGAGTTATTATTTTTCTGATGATGGGAATGATCCAGTGGAGGGGGACATTGATGACGTAGGTGACGTGGGGCAGGGGTTTGGTGGAGCAGAGTCCCTGCATGGGTGTGGGAACGGGCGTATAGATGGAGCTGGCACATAGTGTGGTACAGATTCTTAAGGTGACTCTGCTGCATATTTTTCTCATGAGCTGTAAGAGAGTCTGGGGGAAGAGGAGTGTCAGAGGAGAGAGAGGCTGGGTGAAGTCCCTGGCACAAGAGTTGGCTAGGGAAGAGACTGGAGCAGAGGTTTTCCTCCAGGGTGACCCCCTTCTGAGGACATTGGGCCTTGGTCTGGAGACATTTTCTAGTGTTCTGACGAGGCAGGGGGTTAGGGCAGGGCTGTTGCTGAACCCCCTGCAATGCACAGGACGGCCCCCACCACAGAGGAAGATGGGCTGCCTGTTTTCGGTGCCTGGGCAGAGGCTGTGGCTGAGAGCTGACTTTGGTGCATCTGGTGCACTTGGGTGTAAAGAGACAGGAGTTGGTGTGGTGGGGCCCATTGTGCAGCCGCGGTCAGTTGCATGGGGCAGGCATGGGGCAAAGGCTGGATTAAACAGGCTTCCCCATTATCACAGTGCTTGGCTGTGCCAAGCAAGTGCACCAGAGAGAGGAGGGAAGGAGTCAGAGTATGTGGAAGCTCCACGGTCATGACTGATGTGGGATTTATGCCAGTGAGTGGGGGAGGAGCCCTCGGGGGTGAAGGTCAGGAGGAGGTGGTAGGTTTGAGAGACTGAAGGTGCTGGATGGGTGGAAGGATTGTTGGAGTTGGATCCAAGGGCCATGAGCTGGAACGATGGGTGGTGGTGGTAAAGGAGTGGGGCGCTTGGATTTGAGATTGGGGCTTTCTGTTAGTGGTAGTGACAGTGGTGACCCTGGGAGTGGGTGTCGGGTGCAGGAGGTGGGATCATTCCCGGGGGGTTCAGGGACCCAAGGCCAGATTTGGGAAAGATCATTTCTCAATACTTGAAATCACAAGTTAAGACAGGAGCAGTGTTGGTGAGAGTGGCGGGTCCGGGAGGACCGGGTGGGACCAGGGGTTGGCAGCTGATGGCAGCAATGATGGGGTCAACAGTGACAAGATTTAAAGTTGGCAGTTTTTAGTGAGAATGATCTGGAAGACACAGCAAGCATAAGGAAATTACTGACCTTGCCTCTGGGCCAGTGACAAAGGCATAGGCTCCGTGGGAGGAGCGGAGCTGCAGCTGAGGGGCTGTGGGGAAGCCGTGTCCTGGAGCAAGTTGGGATGGAGAAGAGCTGCCGATCAGGACAGGCTCGAGAGGTGCAGGTGTTGGAGGGGTGGGATGTGGGCCCTGTGTCCTGCCCAGCGCCACGTACACACTCCTCTCCACCCAGGTCCCACCTTCTGGGCATGTCAGTGTCCAACAGCCTGACCCTCCAGCCCCAGACCTTGTCCTTCCTGGTGGTGACAGCCTTCACCCAAGGGCTCTCTCATGCTCTCCAGGGCCACTCACTAGAACTGCCCCACCTGCAGCTGCTCCACTCCTCCTCACGCAGACCACTGTCAGCTCACTCTGCCCAAACGTGAGCCTCAGACCCACTCACTCTACGGGCTTCCTGACGGCCCCTCCTGCCTTTGTTCCTTCCCTATGCACTCATGCTTGAACCAATCCCCTAACTGCCCTGCCCATTATCACATTGCTGCCTTCACTCAAGGAGTGCGAGAGATGAGGAGACGGGAGCTCGGGCTTCCTTTGGTACTGACAGAGCAGCAGGTACAAGGTGAGGCTGGTCCTAGAGGAGCCACACAAATGGTTGTTGAATGGACCACAGTGGCGCTTATTGCCCTGGGTCACAAACCTCAGGGCAGGGGCCATGCTGGCGTCCCACTGTGGCCCACATCCCACCCCCCAAACACCTGCACCCTCGTGCCTGCCCTGATTGGCAGTCCCTTTCTGTCCCACCATGCTCTCCAGGACACGGCTTCCCCACAGCCCTCAGCTGCAGCTGCCGCTCCTCCCACGAGCATCTTGTCACAGGCCCTCTTGTCTCAAGGACCCTGTTGAGGAAGTTGAGGATGTTTGCGGTGATGGGTGTTATTTTAAGAGCTCGTTCCCAAGTGTCTAGATTCCCTCTGGACCTTGTGCATGGCACTGAAGCAAGGGAGGGGTTGGGGGGTGTGTGTGTGTGTGCGCATGTGCATATGTGTGCGCATGCATAGCAGTGTGATAACGGGCAGGGCAGTTAGGGGATTGGTTCAAGCATGAGTGCGTAGGGAAGGAACAAAGGCAGGAGGGGCCGTCAGGAAGCCCGTAGAGCGAGTGGGTCTGAGGCTCACCTTTGGGCAGAGTGAGCTGACAGTGGTCTGCGTGAGGAGGAGTGGAGCAGCTGCAGGTGGGGCAGTTCTATTGGGTGGCCCTGGAGAGCATGAGAGAGCCCTTGGGTGAAGGCTGTCACCACCAGGGAGGACAAGGTCCGGGGCTGGAGGGTCAGGCTGTTGGACACTGACATGCCCAGAAGGTGGGACCTGGGTGGAGAGGAGTGTGTACATGGCACTGGCCAGGACACAGGGCAGCCACCGTGACTAGGAGTTGAATGAGGGGCCTCTACCTGCTGTGTGAAGAGAGGTCTGGGGGCAGCCCTGCCAATGGGGACCCCAGTGTGGCCCCTACCCTGAGGTTTGTGACCCAGGGCAATAAGCGCCTCCAGGTAGAAGGCAGTAGGTGAAGGGCTGGTGTCACTGAACATGGTCAGGGGAAAGATGGAGGCCCTGAGGGCCTTCATCCAGTACAGGGCATGACGAGGCTTTGGGGGGCGGGAGGCCAGGTATGGACCAGGGGGCACACATACACAGGGCAGCACAGGGACATGGGGAAGCTGGGTTGGGGTGGAGGGTGAGACTCACAGGGACTCAGGCCTGGAGGGCTTACAGAGGACACTGCAAACAGTCCATCTGAGCTTCAATAGGTCGTTTGAGATGCTGTTCTTCAGATGGTTGGTGATTAGCTTCATCTCTGCTGACCTCTGACAGTTTCAAATGCCTGGGATTGATGAAAACGTGTGACTGATAGAGCTTTTCTAATTTAATCTAATTTCTTTTTATTTAGGTCAGGGAGTGGTAAAACTGTCTCAAATGTGATTGTAGAGTCACACAACTCTGACAATGAAGAGGATGATCAATTTGTGGTGGAAGCTGCCCCTCAGCTCTCTGAAATGTCAGAAATTGAAATGGTTAGTTAACCAAAATGTGGTAGTTTTTAATAATCATGTGTTGCCTACATTGAGATTAATACTGTAGCTTTTAGATTTATGTAGACAAAAATTTCCTATAATTTTTCAGTTAGTTTTCTACTTTCATTAATTTTGTTGTTCCATTTTTGAGATCCACAGCAAGCCTGTGGATTTTTAGAATTCAGCAAGCCTGAACCCTCTTTTTCCCCTTCTTTTCCTGCTTAGGTAGCAGCAGTGGAACTAGAAGAGGAGAAGCATGGTGAGTCCTGGCGCAACTGTGCACGCGTGTCTGCGCCCATGCATCTTCTCCACGTGTGCTTGGAAAGGATCCAGTGCAAGGGACTGTTGTGTGCCATGTTCTGGTCTGGGTCACACTGGCGGGGTCACACCGGCGGGGTCACACCGGCAGTACATAGGACCCTGTGGGCATGGATTTCTCTGAGGCGATGGCTGCTGCTCCCCATCCGTAGAGGAGCGGGAGGGCACTGCTGGACGCTGCAAACTGGCGGGGAAGTGTCCTGCAGATGACGTCTTGTCTCATCTGTATGGTTAGATTGTGGGAATAGATGATCTCTGAGGCCCTGCCCAAGTCGAGTTCTGGATGTTATTGTTGGTTTTCTAGCTGCTCAACTGGTAGTGCAAGCCCCGCTCCCTGCACCAGGGTTTGAGTATCCAGGAGCACAGCTTCTGTGGAAGAGGCAGGCTGAATACTTTCCCTTTATTTCCCACAATGTGACTTTGTTTCCTGGCACCATCACAGGTGACCAATGAGGGATTATTGGTTTTGGGGTTTTTTTGGGTGTCTATATGAATGTTTTTTTTTTTTTTTGAGGCAAGGTCTCACTCTTGCCTAGGCTGGAGTGCCATGGTGTGATCTTGGCTCACGGCAATCTCTGCCTCCCAGGTTCAAGCGATTCTCGTGCCTCAGCCTGACAAGTAGCTGGGACTACAGGTGCCTGCCACCATGCCTGGGCAATTTTTGTATTTTTAGTAGAGACAGGATTTCACCACATTGGCCAGGGTGGTCTCAAACTCCTAACCTCAAGTGATCTGCCTGCCTTGGCCTCCCAAATGCTGAGAATACAGGCTTGGGCCACTGTGCTTGGCCTAGTCACAGATTTGTAACATCGTGGACATGCTTCATTTCAGCCCCTCTCAGTTTTTCTTAGTAATGTTCAGATTGCCCAGTATTTGACCAGAGGAGCCTGTTGGAGCTATTTTCTGGGGACCTTTAGACACATCCCGTACAGTTTGTAGCTTCCTTGTTTTCTCCTACGACAAGGCGTTTCTGCCCCATAACCGCCTCATTTCTCCAAGGAAGCTGGCCACTTACTGCTCCGGGTTGGTTCTTGTTTCCAGACATTTTCACTGCATAAAGCAGGCATATAGTTTTTTAAAATAAGAAAGTATATTCTGACTTGGTGCTGATATTTCCAATTCCAATTTAGGATTGCAGGGCTCTGTCTGCGTTCTTTGATTTTATATGTGCATCTCTTCCATGTCCTGCCAAAAAGCTTGGCTCCCAGCAGCGGCAGCTGTCCCCATGCTTTACGATCTTTCACATGCTCACACAGCAGTTTTAGAACACCACCACTGTTTTTTTAACAACAATAGGATTGCTGGAAACTATAGTTTTTTTTTTTTTTTTTGGTAGATGTGTATGTCTCTTTGTTGGGTATATCCTATTAGGGATATACAGTTAAGTCCTCTGCTTTAAAGTTATGAAACAATTTTTTCTCTAGTGGCTCATGCTTGCCAATTGGATATCACTAAGTTTATTTCATTTTGCATTCAATCTTTAGGCATGAGTGTTTACCTTTTTAATGTAAGATAACTCACATGGTTTTAAGGTTAGATGTACAAAACCAGGTATAATCAGAAATGTGGGGCTTTGACCCCTGTCTCCTCCACCCTCTACTCTCCCTCTCCATGGAGGTAACGGTGAAAAATAGGGCTTATACTTACATTTAAAAAGTAAGTAAATAAGTGCATGTGCATGTGCATGTGTATTTACTGATTCCTACACTTGTTTCCATCTTGCACTTCTTTTAACTTGGCAGTAGATGCAGGCATCCATTGCGCAGCAGTGCAGAGAAACCTCCCCATTCCTCTCCACAGCCGCACAGCCCTACACCAAGGGCACGCTCCGTTTTTATTCAGTCAGTCCCAGGCTCATGCATGCCTGGGCGAAACACTTACTTCAAAACACTTTCCATGGGATTTTATCCCATGGGTAAATTCTGAGAGAAATGGAATATTCTTGCCCCAATATAAAAGAAGTATTAGTACTTAGAAGCAATTCATAATTCTTATTTCTGTTCATAATAGATGGCAATATTTTTGGCTGTCAATCTACATTCCTTTTTAATCTTTGAAAAGAGAAAATCTGTTTTATTTCTAAAGCTTTTTACTTTTCAAGGAGCTTAGTTCCCTGAAACACTTTGAAATTTTATAATTTCTACCACCAGCTGTCATATCACTCTTGTATACTATCTCCTTGACAAATAAAGATGATTTGGAACTGTTTAAAAAGAGATAGCATAAAAACTTAGTGTTTTTCCCATCATCCCACCCATTTAGAATCAACTTTTAACATCAAATCACTGATTTTTCAACAGGTGGACTTGTGAAAAAAATTTTGGAGACTAAGAAAGATTATGAGAAATTGCAGCAGTCACTCAAACCTGGGGAGAAGGTAATGAAATGATTTTCCGTAAACACTGGCATTTTAGCAGTCTGTCTCATGCATTTACAGACTTTTAAAAATTAGAAGGATCTTTCAAAAATTACCATTATTAGTGATGTCTGTTTGCATATTTAAATGCTATTCCTTGCCAGGTGTGGTGGCTCACGCTTGCAATCCCAACACTTCGGGAGGCCACGGCAGGTAGATTACTTGAGCCCAGAAGTTCAAGACAAGCCTGGGCAACATGGCGAAACCCTGTCTTTGCAAAAAATACAAAAACTAGCCGGGTGTGGTGGTGCATGCCTGTAGTCCCAGCTACTTGTGGGGCTGAGGCAGGAGAATTGCTTGAACCTGAGAGGTAGAGGTTGTAGTGAGCTGAGATTGCGCCACTGCACTCCAGCCTGGGTGACGGAGTGAGACCCTGCCTCAGAAAGAAAAAAAAAATATATAATTCCTCCCTGCTCCCAATTGGGAGGATATAAAGTATGGGACTCTCTGTGTGGGGCTGCTTCCCTGGCCTGGTGTACAGCCCTGTCTTGGGAGGCGGCAGTGGCTTGCTTGGGAAGCTGAGGAGCCAAGAGCCAAAGCCCTGTTGGGCTCTGACTTCCTGACTCTCCCCTTCCAGCCTTGCCCATCCCTTCTCCCAGGTCTGTTTGCAGACCGAGAGCCTGGCTGCCTGGCCGCCTGGCCGCCTGGCCTTGGCTGATTGCAAAGTAAGAGGCTGTACAGTGTTTTTAAGACTGCGTTCTAAATGTGTGTTCTATTATACCTGACTCCCTGCAGTCCTCCTTACACATGTGTGATGTGATTTTGTTGGGACCTGTGGCCTCTTGCCAGCCACTGCCCTTTCCTTGAGCACAAGGCCATGGGGGCGAGCACCTGTGGGCCAGAGGGGTGTGCCTCAAATGCCACAGGCAGGTTTCTCTTACAGTGACTTTAAAGAGGAAGAATATACAAAAAACTCCCGTTTAAAAGAAAAAAATATAGTTAGTCTAATCACTCAACAGTTTAAAAAAGTTTTATATATGGGGGTGTGCACACACACACATGCACACATATATGTATTTTTCTGCAGCTGAATTAATGGTTGTTTTAGATAATTCTGCTTAACATGTCCTAGTTTGTCATGAAGCTAGGGCTTGAAATAGCCAATGAGAACTGTACAATTGAGACTAACAGTAGAGGGAGCCCTTTTAACAATAATAACGGAAAGTTGTCAAAGGAGGCTTTGCTGACATTACCACTATCTGCTTGCTGAGAGGAGAAATGCCTTCTACAGCCTGTTTTCTGTTGAATGTTGATACCCCATAGTCCTTTCCATATGCATGAGGGGTGGTCCTGGTGTTCCTGGTGGTGGTTCTGAGACCCAGTCAAAAACCTTGAATGTGTTCCTCCAAGCTCCTAGTGGAGGTCACCTTTGAAGCATCCATTGGTTTAAATTTTATAGCCATGATGTTTATACAGAGCATATTAGGATTGTGTTTCAAAGTGTCCTTGGAAGATTAAATTATTTCAGATTGATAAATCTTTTGGCTTCAGAAGATAAAAGGAAAAATGTCTTTTTTTTTGTGAACATCTACTGCTTTGAAAAAGAGTAATTAGTGAGTACTTCAAAGTCAGGTGTGATGTATGTTGCAGTTAGATAGGGAGACAGCAAGTGTCTGTGTGATTTTCTTTAGGATATTGATAAACATCAGACTTTAACTTGTTGGTCTTCTTAAAACATTTTTGTTACCTTTATTTTTTTGAGACGGAGCCTTCCTCTGTCGCCAGGCTGGAGTGCAGTGGTGCGATCTCAGCTCACTGCAACCTCCGCCTCCTGGGTTCAAGCAATTCTGCCTTAGCCTCCTGAGTAGCTGGGACTATAGGCATGCGCCACCACCCCCAGCTAATTTTTGTATTTTAGTAGAGACGGGGTTTCACCATGTTGGCCAGGATGGCATTGATATGACCTCGTGATCCACCTGCCTCGGCCTCCCCAAGTGCTGGGATTACAGGCGTGAGCCACCATGCCTGGCCAGCTACTTTTTTTTTTTTTTTTAAATAAATAAAAATGTGGCCAGGCATGGTGGCTTATACCTGTAATCCCAGCATTTTGAGAAGCCAAGGTGGGCGGATTGCTTGAGGCCATGAGTTTGAGATCAGCCTGGCCAACATGGCCAAACCCCCTCTCTACTAAAAATACAAAAATTAGCTGGGCATAGTGGTGTGCACTTGTAGTCTCAGCTACTCAGGAGGCCGAAGCATAAGAATCACTTGGTCCCAGGAGGCAGTGGTGGTTGTATTAAGTGGTGATTGCGCCACTGCTCTCCCTCCTGGATGACAGAGCAAGACTGTCTTAAAAAGAAAACCTGTAGGAAGAGCCAAAGTCCTTTGTTCCCCTGCCCCAGTCTCGTTCCCCTGAGGGCAGTCCCTAGGATGAACTTGGTGTGTATCTCTGCTTTGCATGTACATCGTGAAGTTTTGTGAGTTTCTAATGCCATCTTATTGTTGATCTGTTAGGCAGGTTGCTTTCAAGAGCCAGTGTCTCTTCCAGCAAGAATCAGGCCACTTTCTGTGAAGAGCCAGATAGTAAATACTTTAGGTTTTTTTGAGCCAGATGGTCTCTGTTGCAGCCATTGAACTCAGCCAATGTAGCATGAATGCAGCATTAGACAATGTAAACGCATGTGTGCGGCTATGCTCAATAAAACGCACTTTACCAAAACAAGGTCTAGGCTGTGGGCCGCAGTTTACTGATCTCAGCGTTGGGGGCTGTGCCCAGGCTTAGAAGTGCTGTGCCAGGAAGTACACAGATCTTTAGTTTCACCAGATAGGCCACTCCTCAAAGTGCCTGTACCAGTGTATTCTCCCAGTAGAACGACTGTCTGTTTCCAAACATCCGTGCCAGCCACAGTCAAGATAGTCTACATGCTCATCACCCTCCAGTGTCAAGTGCCCTTGGTGCGCCCATCCTCCAGCCCATCTCCGTGTTCCCCTTTCCCCATGCCCCATCCCCCAGCAGCCACTCGTCTGCCCTGAATCACTGTGCTTTATAGTTTGCATTTCCGAGATTTGTGTTTAAGTGGAATCATGTGATGTGCACTCTTTTGAGTTTTTTTTTTTTTTTTCCCAGTGTGGCTTTTACTCAGCATAATGATTCTGAGATTTATCCATGCTGTTACAGCATGTATCCATAGGTTCTTCCTTTTTATTGCTAAGTAGTATTCCATCGTGTAGATATACCACAGTGTGTCCATCCATTTATCAGTGGATGAACATTTCCGTTGTTTCTAGTTTGGACAATTATAAATAAAGCTGCTGTGGACATTCATGTTCAAGTCTTTGTGTCAGCAGATGCTTTCATTATGTTGTGTCAGTACAGTAGCACCCTTTTTATTTGCAGGGCTTGTGCTCCAAGACCCCTCGTGGATGCCTGAGGCTGTGGATAGTCCCAAACCCTGTATATACCATGTTTTCTCATGATGCATTCTGATGACAAAGTTTAATTTATGAATTAGGTTCGGTAAGAGATTGACAATAACTGATATTAAACAGAACCATTTTAACAATATGTCAGCATCACTCTCTTGTACTTTGCAGCCACAGTTAAATAAAATAAGGGTTGCTTTACCACAAGCACTGGGATATCACCACAGTCTAGACCACCTGATAACCGAGAGGGCTGCTAAGTAACTGACAGGCAGATAGTGTGTACAGTGTGTATATGTACTGGACAAGGGGTGATTTATGTCCTGGTAGAACTGTGCAAGACTTATCACACTACTCAGAATGGCATGCAATTTAAAACTTACAAATGAATTGTTTATTTCTGGAATTTTTCATTTAATATTTTCAGACTACAGGTAACTGAAACTGCAGGAAGTGAAACTATGGGTGGGGGTCAGGACTGTTGTACCTAGGGGTGGGACGGCTGAGGCATGTGGTAAATACGTGCTTTTTAAAAAACTGCCAGACTGTAGGGCTGGGTGCTGTGGCTCACACCTGTAATCCCAGCCCTTTGGGAAGCCGAAGCGTGAGAATAATTTGAAGCCAGGATTTTAAGACCAGCCTGTGCAACATAGAAACCATGTCTCTACAGAGAAACAAAAAAATTGCCAAACTGTGTTGCAAAGTGGTTGTATCATTTTGCATTCCTACCAGCAGTGTGTAAGAGCTCCAGTTCCTTCACATCCTCATCAGCACTAGATATGGTCAAACTTTGAAATTTTCATGGTTGTAATTTGCGTGGTTTTTTTTTTTTTTTTTTTGAGATGGAGTCTCACTCTGTTGCCAGGCTGGAATGTAGTGGCGTGATCTCAGCTCAGTGCAACCTCTGACTCCCAGGTTCAAGCGATTCTCCTGCCTCAGCCTCTGGAGTAGCTATGACTACAGGTGCCCACCACCACGCCCAGCTAAATTTTGTATTTTTAGTAGAGGCGGGGTTTCACCATGTTGGCCAGGATGGTCTTGATCTCTTGACCTTGTGATCCACCTGCCTTGGCCTCCCAAAGTGCAGGGATTATCGGTGTGAGTCAACAATTTGCATTTTCTTAATGGCTATTGATGTTCAATATCTATCCTATGGTTGTATATATAACATAATGGCACCTAAGCCCTTGTGTCTCATATGTTGTAAATATTTTTCCAGTCTGTCACTTGTCTAGACTTTGCCTTCTTATTTAAAAAACGTTTTTATTTATTATTATTATTATTATTTGTTTGAGACAGAGTCTGGCTCTGTTGCCTAGGCTGGAGTGCAGTGGTGTAAGGATTTCAGTTCACTGCATCCTCTGCCTCCCAGGCTCAAGTGATCCTCCCAACTCAGCCTCCCAAGTAGCTGGGACTGCAGGCACATGATACCACACCTGGCTAATTTTTATATTTTTTGTAGTGGGGTTTTGCCATGGTTTCTTAGGCTGGTCTTGATCTCCTAGGCTCAAGTGATCCTTCTGCCTTGGCCTCCCAAAGTGAGCCACTGCACCTGGCCAGACTTCTGTATTTTGATATAAAATTTAAATAGCTTTTTTCTTTTTTTTTCTTTTTGTTTGGCCAAGAGTTTAAGGTGCAGTTATACTTCATTTTTTATTTTGTCTGAAAAACCTGTCCTATGCTGGTTGTAAAGGTAGTCTCTCGTTTTCTTGTAGCAAGT